TAACATTGTCGTTGTGAGCATGTTGGCATGGTGACATTATATTTAGATCAAGTACAGCCTCGCTGAGCCACTAACATAGCTAAAGACTTCAAAAATAGTATATTTGGACATATTTTACTGTCTTCCTGCAGTATCAGTTTAAAACTCACACACACCAAGACATGCTAGAATGTACAACATTTGCTTAAAAGCTTAATGGTACAAACGAAATGCTAAAATCCACAACACACAACAAAAGTCTGACAAATGCTATAAACCCTGTGACCCATGAGATATAAAACATGCTTGTCTCCGTTAAGCTGCTGTAACACGAGTCGGTTTAATGAGTGGAAGATCACATTGAAAAGCTCTTTGGCTTTTTTCTCGTGGATGTTAAAATTCAAGTCCTCTAGGAGAGCCACTGTAGTGTAGCTCCTGCAAGGTGAAGCACCGACTTTCTCTCCTGGTACAAGAGTCTCCAGGCAGCTTTAGATCATTTTAGATCAGAGTTTGTATAGGAAGCCTCCAGCACATTTTGTGCACGGTGATATTTGGATGTATGTGTCTAAAGTCTGTACATCCGCCTGTGATTTGACATTGACATGGTAAATAGCAGAAGGACAGCTAATATTTAATTACCTCTCATAACATGTATACTTATCCCATTAAAAGCTTTTATTGGAACAATTGAACTCAGACGAAAAGGAGATCACAGAATCTATTTCATACAGCCAGTAGCTGCTGTCAATAAAATGGAGATAAAAAGAATATGTTCCCGAGGCCTTCTTTGTTAAACTGCTACGCAAAAGCACAAGCTCCACACAAACACATTCAGTGAAGAACATGGAAATACAAAGACTTTTAGTAATAAGCCACACATGCAACAGGCAGCTCTGACTGCAACTTATGCACTACCAATACCAGCAGCGGCCCCAAGCCAATCTTTGAGACCCCCGATGTATAACAATGGGATTATAACGATGGCATACACAAAACACAGCATACTTTGCATACTGAAGTCCATATGCACACACACGCACACCTTAAATGAGCATGTGTGCCTTATATTTTATAGCACAGGCAGGAGAATGGAGCCAATTATCCCACATTTTATCAGGATTTTTTTCCATCTTTGACAGTTCCTTCAACCCGTTCATCCTTTCCTTTACCTCCCTCCATCTGCCCTCATCTCTTCCTGCCCAGCAGATGCTATAGAATGACGCTTATTAGGAAGACCAGAGCTCTTTGAAGCCCAAGGCTTGTGTGTGTGTGTGTG